AATGCATGCCATGACAATCTTACAGTATTAAGTGAGGTCATAGTAAGCAATTTCTGTACAGGAGAAAAACCTGTACAACTGTTCCAGTCTTTCAGGATTTATCCTGGTTCTAGATGGCTTCCCTGCAGGTAAGCCTGGAGTTTCAGCAAATGTTTAGGAACTGTTCCACACCTGAAATATTTATGCTGGTTATTTATGGCTTCCCCTGCAGTGAGAAACATTGGGCTATTTTTTTTATAGGCCACACCAGGCAATTATGAATTGAGCTTGTTTTGTTTACGTGTGCTGCTTTTCTTTGGTGCATGGGCAGACAGCGAACATACTATGGAAAACTGTTTGGCAGTAAATCTCTGTGAGTGCAGGAATCTTCCATTACAAGGCCTCAGGAGTAGTATGAGACAAGGTTTTCAACTGTACCGTTCAAGGATTAAATGTCAAACAGCTCAATTAATTTATGACTAGCAAGGGACTTGTGTATGGGAGGGGCAGTTCATTACCAGTTCACAAAGAATTCCCCAGTACTCAGCCCTGATACACAGGAAAAAGGACCTCATTAAAACCTATTTCTGACATTCTAATAGAGGTTATTTTCAAGTATGTGAAAGTAACACGCCATATCTTGGCACCTCTGTAAAATGCCGAACTTCTTTAAACTGTGGAAGCAACAACACTGGGAGATAGATATATACAGTTGTGTTCAAAATAATAGCAGTCAGACATCATTAACCTGATCAATCACTGTTTTTGGTAGAAATGATATTTCTACATGGCAAATAATTTACTAGCAGGTGTATTAGAGTAATAGAAATCCAACAGACCCAACAGTCATGACATGCATGCTGCTGATTCTGTGTAATTGAATCACTAATTGAAAGGGGCATGTTCAAAATAATAGCAGTGTGGAGTTCTATTAGTGAGGTCATTCATTTTTTGAAAAACAGGTGGCAATTATTGCCCTTATTTAAGGAAGGAAGGCAGCAAATGTTGTACATGCTGGTTACAGTGCATTTCTCTCTGAAATTCTGAGGAAAATGGGTCGTTCCAGACATTGTTCAGAAGAACAGCGTACCTTGATTAAAAAGTTGATTGGAGAGGGGAAAACATATAAAGAAGTGCAGAATATGATAGGCTGCTCAGCTAAAAATGATCACAAATGCTTTAAAATGACAACCAAAACCTGAAATACATGGAAGAAAGCGAAAAAATACCATTCGAATGGATAGAAGAATAGCCAAAATGGCAAAGACTCAGCCAACAATCAGCTCCAGGAAGATCAAAGAAGGTCCAAAGTTACCTGTGAGTACTGTTACAATTAGAAGACGCCTATGTGAAGCCAAGCTATCTGCAAGAAGCCCCCGCAAAGTCCCACTGTTAAAAAAAAAAAAAAAAAAGACATGTGCTGAAGAGGTTACAATTTGCCAAAGAGCACATTGACTGGCCTAAAGAGAAATGGCGCAACATTTTGTGGACTGATGAAAGTAAGATTGTTCTTTTTGGGTCTAGTGGCCGGAGACAGTTTGTCAGACGACCCCCAAACACTGAATTCAAGCCACAGTACACAGTGAAGACAGTGAAGCATGGTTGCACAAGCATCATGATATGGAAATGTTTCTCATACTACGGTGTTGGGCCTATTTATCTCATACCAGGGATCATGGATCAGTTTGAATACATCAGAATACTTGAAGAGGTCATGCTGCCTTAAGCTGAAGAGGAAATGCCCTTGAAATGGGTGTTCCAACAAGACAACGACCCCAAACACACCAGTAAACGTGCATCATCTTGGTTCCAGACCAACAAGATTGACGTTATGGAGTGGCCAGCCTAATCCCCGGATCTTAATCCAATAGAAAACTTGTGGGGTGACATCAAAAATGCAGTTTCTGAGGCAAAACCAAGAAATAGAGAAGAAACTGTGGAATGTAGTCCAATCATCCTGGGCTGGAATACCTGTTCACAGGTGCCAGAAGTTGGTTGACTCCATGCAACACAGATGTACAGCAGTTATACAACGAAATATTCATTAAGTGATTCAAAGGAAAGCAAAATCTTCAAACATTTTTCAGTTTATATAGTGAATGTTTGAGTTTGTAAAGAAGAATACAAAAACTGCTATTTTTTTGAACAGTCTAATATTCACTTTTCTTCAATTTTTTTTTGAGGAACAAAACAAATTTGATATTTTTTCTTCATGTTTTGATTTGGAATAGAATGTGTAGTGTTCCCAATGCATTTGTGTGTGTAGAAATAAAAGCTATTAGAAGGATTTTGAGCTTTATTCACTTTTTTTAACACATTGCTATTATTTTGAACACAACTGTGTGTGTGTGTGTGTATGTATGTGTATGTGTGTGTGTGTGTGTGTGTGTGTGTGTGTGTGTGTATGTGTGTGTGTGTGTATGTGTATATATATATATAAGATTATTCACGTAATCCATTCCAGTATTTAGAGAATATGTGGACTTTGTAAAGTACGTATCCCTCTATGTCAACAATGAATTTGTGTACAGCCGTTCATTGTTTCTTGGTCTTACTCTGGCTTAAACAATCATAGAATTGAATAAGGGATGTCTTATTAAATTGTTTGGGCAAGTCTCACCTCTATAGCATCTTACTGCATTTCAAAAGATGCTTGCTGTGACCTTTTAATTAGCTGGAAAACCCACCTGTGCATCTCTGATTTAGTTTCCCTTTGTTACTAAGACCTTAGTTCCATGTTTTTAACACCCTGTTCCGGTTCCATAGAAGCTGTAGGCAGGTGGGTGGACCTCAGGCCAGCAGTCATGGAAGGCAAGTCCCTAGTAAAGTGAAGACATATAAAGAAGGCGCACAGAACTTGTGGAACTTTAATCAGAAAATTAAGTCCTGCTAGATCACTTAAGGCTGGCCCCTTTTGCAGGTAATGCTATGTAAAACATTAAAAATAAGTGCCTGTACTGTTTCAAGTCCAGTAATACACTGTCTCACACTGGTCTGCACATGCTCAGTTGCTCTATTTTTAGGCACTCTGAATTTGTAGAGGCTGATCTGCTGACATCCTTGAAGTGGAATTAAACCCTCCTATTCCTTACAGCCAAGGAAGCTGCTTCTGTTTCATTTGCAACTGCCATGGTGACGCACAAGTGATCAGTTATGACACCAGCCACTTAAAGTGGTTGTAAAGTCACATATGTCAGTTACTTGTATCCTCTCTGATGTAGTAATAAATAAAGTACAGTGTGTGTGTGTTTTTTAGAAAAAAATTATAATCCTCAATACCTTTTTGCACAGCTCCGCTGTGTAGTCACGTGACCTCCCTCCACTCTCCTTCCCCAATCTTAGGAGAGCGGTGGGAGGGGCTAAGAGTCTCCTGTGACGTATGCTTGCCAGCAGAGGGAGGTCACGTGATCGCACAGCAGCGCTGTGCAAGACGGTATTTAGCATTATAGTTTTTAAAAAACACACTGCACTTTATATATTGCTACAACAGAGAGCATACAAGTAACTGATATATGTGACTTTACAGCCACAGAGAACTAAAGGCAGGAGAGGAGGCAGGGGTGGGGAGGAGATTGGCTCTCACAACACTGACTACTGAACTGACAGGCAGAGAGGGAGGGGATGAGAGAGAGACTGAACACATAGTGGGATGACGGAGCCGCATAAACTGACAACAGTATGATGGATCAGCAGCCATGATTACTGTGGTAAGAGGGACACAGGAACTGGCAGGATCGGCCAGGTGTTTTACAATGTAGAAAGGGAAAATTACACTGCAAAAGCACTATGCTGTTTATAATGCAACAGAAAGGCCAGGAGCTTTTTTGTTTGTTTGGTTTGTCTTTTCCAGGGTTACAACCACTTTAATGGTTTGACAGTTTGGAAGAGGAAACAAGCAAATGTGACAGTTAGCAATCCAGGCATTTCAGGAATGTAACCGTTTTTTAAAACCATTACATCTATGGGTTTAGATCCGCTTTATGATTAAGAGCCGTTCACACCATGATGCAGAGATGTCAGTTTTTCTACATGCTTTCTGCAAGGGCACCACAAAATCAATTGTTCTCTATGTGCCCTGTTCACACCACAAAATTAGTATTGCATGCAGATTTGTTTTGCGCAGGAATCTGCAATGTGTATAAAACTCATTTAAGCACGCATGAAAACTGATGCAAACTGATGTCTCTGCAAGTGAAATCTGCACGTCAGTTTTCTGGCACGTATGGTGTGAATGAGGCCTTTCTGTTGTTCAGGGGCTCTGAGCTTCAGCAAAATGGTAGCTTCCAGCTCCAAGAAACAAAAGCAATGCTGGAGGCAACTTACAGCACACGCTAATTTAGGTAGCGTAATTATTAATTTGGAATGTATGTTCCTTGCTAAAGAACATTATTTTTCATCAAGTTGTTATGGGTAAAGTTGTGCTTTAATAAAAGTCTTAATAGTTTTCTGCTTAATAGTCGCAAAGTTTAAAGTGGCTCACAGGGCTTACTTTTAAATACTACGTCACCTTTTGTAGCCTCCCTAGTGGTCTGATTATGTCCATATTTCTGTGCTCAAAGCGGTACCTTTTTTTGCATGGAAATATGTATTTTTTTTATTGTAGGCCTGTAACTTTTAGGAATAACTCACTGAAATCTGTCCGAACAAGAGTGTAGTAAACATCCCGGGTATGTTAAAATTTCAAACACAAAATCATAAATTATAATTTAATAAATCATAAAAAAAATATGATAAATTTAATTCAATAATATAATCAAACCAAAAACACTGAAATTTGAAATATAGCGCACATCACTGAGCAAAGTTGCAAAATCGTTTTCAGTGTCTGATGACGAATTTCCCCACGAATCATTATTCAATTCTGCAAGTGTTTCTAATTTACTATCGCTGTTCTCTAGCTGGTCTAAAACCGATTTTGACCTAAAGGGATGCTTTTTGGACGCCATGGACATTTCTCAGTTTCCAGGTAGAAAGAACAGTAAAAATGCAGGCAGGGCACAGGACAAAGCACTAGGGACAAAATGTATGTGAAATGGTTTGATACAGTAATGTTTTACTATGTGATTTTAGTGTATTTAGTGAATGTCACTTTTTCACATTTTTAAATTTCCCCGCCGTTCCGTTCCCGTACGTCCTGACGTCGCAGAGAACGGAACCCAGAAGACGGATGCCGGCATCGGCCGGAGGACATTGCCGGGGACACTTCAGGAGGGACATCGCGGGAGCGAAGGACAAGGTAAGTGAAGAAGAGATCCCGGAGCAACGCTGCAGGAAATTCCCGAGTGTAGCTCGGGCTTACCGCTTGTGGTGCTGAAACTTTACCCCGAGCTACACTCGGGAATACCGCCAGGGAGGTTAAAAATCTTTTTGAACAATTTAGTCTTATGAAGAAGCAGAACCAGATAATAGTCATTTGTCAACAGTAGTTACTACATATCATGTTCTGTTATGTCTGTAAATTTTTCTGCTTATTTAACCTGTGAAAACATTCTTTTAATAATGATAACAGTAACAGTTTGTGGCGAGAAGTTTGTAGACAGGGATTGTGGTTTACCGGTCTAAAACTTTATCCTCTTCCGTGGTCGCAAGTATGTGGGTAATGACCCACATGAGGCTGTAGCTATCAGCAGTGCGAGTTATGTCTCTTCTGGATGACCTGCGGAGCATGGCAGTCTTGGAGCATCTTGAAGTAGGGTTGTTGCTTTCTGCAATTAACAGGCACCAGCCAGAGACTTTCTGTGCAGAGAACCTACCTTCCCATTTGGCCAAAACCCCCTTTAAATAGCTGTTCTGACATCGCAGCAGTAGTTAACAGATCCGCAGCTACCACCGCTTAGACTCTTCAGCGGAACACTGCCCACCTTCACAAAGTCAGCGTGGGCTAAGGCATTCACACATATAGCCTAGCTTTTGAATTCAATTGAAAAGTAATTGGCTTCTTAGCTATTGTTAAAGAAAATTGAGCAGATCAAGCATTATGTAGGTGGCTTGACCGAACAGAAAGGCCGAAGTTCTAATTTGGGATCACCATCATCATCTGATGTGTGCAGACTGATTTTCCATCTTTATCCTGCAAGCAGGAAACCTCTTTAAAGTGAACCTGTGCTTCACCAAAGCAGGAAAAGAAACATGTTCGTTTTAATGCCAGCTTTATCCCTAAGGGAAGCTAGTATGTGCAACTGGAAACTGCAGAAGTTGAAGTCTGCAGTTGGGAAACTTTTGTCTGCCCTGCTTAGCTTGCTTCTCTTCCTGTTAGTCCTTACAGTTAATATGCTCCAAAATGTGGACAAAGCTAGTTATTTTTCTGGCCTTCCGTATAATGTTAAAAATGGAAACAAACCCTCTTATTCTTTACAGCAAAGCATGCTGCCACCTTAGTCTGTGTTAGATCTGCAGTTGCAATAGTGCTGCAGATGTATTAATTTATGACACCAGCTATTTAAAGGCTTGACAGTTCGGTTGAGAGCTCAAGCTAATGTGACAGTATTCATTCATGTCATGTCAGTTAAAGGATAAGTTCACCTTTAGTAACAGGTTACATGTTACACACAAATATAGGTTGTAATGTTACTACTGAGCATTTTCTCCTGTTTGGTGGTCTGCAGCCATCTTTATTGGCTGGAACAGGATGACGTCATTGCAGCACACCGTACCAGTGCTGAAAGCTGAGCTGCGCCTGTGCAGCTCAATTTACATCACCAGAGAAGACCATGGGCAGGCAGGTAGGGGCATTTTATTGCAAAAGAGAAATTGCATGTCTCCAATGCAATAGAATGCCTGTCTGTTCTCTTAAAGTGGAACTTTAGTTCTGCTTTATGTTTATCTGAAAGGTCGAAGCAAACTGTAAAAAGTGGAACCCTGTTTCCTAAAAGCTGTCAAGAGTATTGTTTAACTTACTGTCATCCCCAGGGCCACCTGGCTTTACCCTGTGCTCCTGCAGCTTACCTTCTAAGTCAGTGTGCAAATACCAGACTCAACCATGAGGAATAATGATCAGTCTGTATGTAGCTTGGAGCATGTGGCAGGGATAGTCTTTATTCTTGGTGGCTGGGCCTGGAACATGCACAAGGACTTTAAAGATGGATTGCAGGTCTAAAGTGCAGTAAATGAAAAGATGCAGTAACCAGCATCTAAAGTCTGAGGTTTTATTTGCAGTTTCTAATTGGGAGGGTAGGGCAAAATGGGATAGAGGTGTTTTATTTTTTTACATTTTTATAACTACAGTTTCACTTTAATGTAGATGTGTTAATACATGAATACAGATTTATAGAGTGTGCTCTTGGCTGGGGTAATCACTATAGAATATCTCACTAGCCCTGTGTAAATGGCTAATCACTTCTCTGGGAATATTAAAAGTGTCAGACAATGCAGGGGAAGAACAGGGCAGATGAATTGCCTAGATGACAGAATATAGCACTGCCATCCACATAAACAGCAAACACAGTCAAGTGCCTGGCTGATAAACTCGCATAAAAATCCAATTACCTTAATGGCCACATCTACATCATTCCCATTAGTTTAACAATGGACAAAATGGAGGATTAATACAGCTGAAGAAACACAAGGGGCATTTTAATTCTTTTTCAATGGGAAATTAAAGCAGTCCATCCAACTGTGACTCAAGTATTACTCATTAATACTAAAGACATAACTTTAACACCTACATAGCTGGATGCTTATAGGGAAGTTATATTGTATTTTCTGGAAGTGTATGCTTTTTTTTAAGTTACTATAAAATTCGCCTGAAAGTAATTTTCTTGTGACTTTCACTTTCATTCTTTTTCTGCCAACGTATGTATGATGTTTTTATTTATATATATATATTTGTAGCTGTTTCCTCGAGTACTTTTAAGTAAAGATGACTGAGAGCTAGCTAGTAGTAATTGGTCATTTTCAACTGGACCTTCTTCTATAAAGTGGAAATGTTTAGCTGCCTATTTAAACGTCTTCAATTCAGAACTGTTGAAACTGCTTGAATAATCAGCAAAATGTATTCAGCATTACAGTTGAATGGGACTAACTACTGTTATAATTGAAAACCCTTACAGATATCACTGAGCTAGAAATAATAAAGAAAAGCTGTGGCTCAATCTTTATTCTTGTACCGTTGGGCTCTTTTCTGCATGGAGTTGGTATATTGTTCCTGACTACACAATTGCTGGGAGGTTAACAGCCTGTGGCTATCAATGAACGTGCATGAATGCCTGCGATGCGGGATTAGATTGCAAGTTATTTTGCATTTACTAACTAAATGATGTTGAGGCCTCAGTCCTTTTTCCTATCTGAGGTGGTTCCTTCGTTCCACCTGAGTTGGGACATTGCACTGCCTTCCATTTCTCCTAATCAACCCTAAAAAGAAAGTGCTTCACTTTTTGGATGTTCTTTAAGCTGCTTGAGTTTGTCTGAAGCTTCTTTTCAGCAGTCTGATTCTATTTATTCTGTCAGAAGGCTCTTGTAACTGTCAGGTTGCCTCTCAATCATTTCTTAGGTCTATGGTATCAAGGGCAAGGTTCCTTCCTTCCTGGTCATGGCTGAGTGTCAGTTATTCCTGGGCCATTCAGGATCAAGCTTTTGTTCAAATTTGTAAGGCTGCTGCCTGGTCTTCTCTTCACATTTAGGCCAATCGTACACAGACATAATCCTGGGTATGACTCTGAACCTTGTAATTATTTCTTTTTGTAAAATTTATAAAAACTGCTGAACCTGAAAGATCCTGGGTAAAATGTTCTGTACAGACTTTTCATAAACGTGTACAGGCGAATAAAAGCTGTGCAAGTGTATAGATGTGTAAAATTCTTCATTGCCAGTGTTGCAATATACTCATTTATACCCACGTAAATGTGTGGAGATGTGTAAACGTGTATGTGAGTAAATTACTTCACTCAAATTTAACATTTTCTATTTTTGTTTTACGGCTCTGTACTAAACAGTGTATTGTCGATCTTTACTCGGCTGAGTTTCAGATCAGTAAAAAAAAGTGGAGGTTTTTTAGTCCGTATGCAAGACGCTATATACTAATTTCTGTCATCTGCATCTGCAAATTTGGGCAGAAGGTTTTGAAGATGGCTTTGCAGTGAGGGTTTTCCCTCGTCTAATTTAGGGATTTTGAGCTTGTTGGCATTGTTGCTGTGTTGCCCTCCCCTCATGTTCACTGCGTTGGGACTTTCCAAGTAGTCATTCTCTCGAACTCCTCCATGTCCTTTGATGTACTATTTAGACATTCGGTTTTTTGTTTATTTGTAAAGTCTTTTTCTTGGAGTACATTACAGGACACAGAGATCCCTCCCAGTTTGTTTGTGTTAACTATTGCTTGCTACAAAACTGAGGCTTAGCTGACCTGGTAAGCACAATGCCTGGGCAGGGATTTATGACATTTTGTGTCCTATGTCTGTTCACCTGAAGGTGGCAGTGTAGCCATGCCTCATGTGTGTCCTGTTATGTACTCCAAGAAAAAGATTTTTACAGGTAAACCAAAAATCCTGATTTTGATTTCTCCTGTGTCACCACATATCCATCTTTGTGCCAACTTTCTGCCACTTCTGTTTTTCCCTTGATCACTCCTCCATTTCCCTTCTTGTACCTAAAAAAGTAAAAACACTCATGGCGGTCTTTTCCAAATTGTATTAAAATTGGAATTTAAAGAACTCTTGCAAAAAGCCTGTTTAAATATTATATGAACTAAATCAGAAAGGTGAAAAGAGAAACGGAGTAGAATATTCTGTAGTGGATTGTGTCAGAGAACATGTAGCATTCCAGCCAAGAGAGCCCTTGATTTAATGCCTTCCCAAGGCCCCAGTGTATCTAAAACCAATTCTGCTGTCACTAACACTTAACCTAATTCTTAAAGTGGATCCTCAGCCTCCCCCCAGATTTTTTTTTAACCCCTGTTTACTGGGGGTTGTCTTCTGCACAAATGAGATACCCACCTAGCTGATCCAGCATTGTTCTTGCAAGATCCTCTTCTGTTTTGCTCCTGCTAAATCCGGCTCTGCCATGTTCAGGTGTGTGACATCATCAGTAGGCACCGGTTTTTCCAGGTTTAGCTGGCCTACCGATGATGTGCCACTTGACCCGCCTGCTTCTCCTAAAACACACAGAAAAAAAAGAGAACTCTTTAAGGATAGGAGGGGTAGAGAGGAGGGTAGAGTGCTGAAAGGGTGAAGACCCACTTTTAAGCCACACCTTTGGTTTGGCAATGTAGGCCAAAACAACTGATTCTTTTTAATGCCCCCATCCCAGCAGCTTATACTCACCTTTCCTTCACCCCCCCCCCACCATTCCTTTCATCCAGCAGGAGTAAATCACTCAGCACTTAACCATATCTCTAAAACATTGAATCCCTAAGGCTCTATTCAC